TGTCGGCCTTCCGCCCATGTCCTCCCACACGGCACCGAGTCTTTCCACAGTGGCCTTGTTCCCAGACCTGAGATGATCTGGTTAATGACAGCTCCTGGGCACCCCCACTGGGGAGCAGACACTTCCTACCATGCCTGCTATCACACACACAGTGTGTATCTGCTCACAAGTGTTGTGATCAGGAGTAGAAAACACAACTGAAGAAATAGTTGTAGATGTCATGACAGGTGTCCATCTCATGCCAAAGCCCATTCCCCTCTGCCATGCGGCTTGCACGTGGTAGCACCTGTTTCTAGCCCAGTCCCGTCAGTCCACGCTTTCCTGGGCTCAGGTGGACACTTCCTGCCACCTGAAGGGCTCATGAGTCTCCACTATGGGTTCAGCCCCTGGGAGGTAACTGCCTGGCCTGTGTCCATGTTCCTAGATGCCTGGTGGTCTGCAGCTAACAGGCCCCATCTGGCTATGGGGTTTTACGGACTTGAACAGTGAGTAGTTCTAGAAGGTCGGTCTTTGATACCAGCCCTGCCGTGTGACCATCACCTCTATCCCTGCAGGTTCGCTTTTACTTGAGAGTTTAAAGGATCACATATCGACCACGGCTCAGGACCACTGCAAAGCCATCTACCTGCACGTGCTCACTACCAACAGCACAGCGATACACTTCTATGAAAACAGGGACTTCAAGCAGCATCACTATCTCCCCTATTACTACTCTATCCGTGGGGTCCTCAAAGATGGCTTCACCTATGTCCTCTACATCAATGGCGGACACCCTCCATGGACAATCCTATATCCTTTACTTCTCAGGGGCCAGGAGGGACTGTGGCTTCCGAGCCACCAGAGTGGCTTGCAGGGACAGGACCCATGCACTGGCTGGAGCCATGGTCGCCTTCAGATGATGCTCATGAGGCCCACCTCATGGGAGGCATGCACCCCATCAGACACCAGTGCGGGTAGACCTGGCTCACATGTTTCGGGACTGTCTGGTCGCACGTACTGGGAAAGTGGGTGCACCCTGTCACTCGGCGTTCCCTGGACCTCAGCTTGGATGAGGGGTGGGTGTTAGCCTCTGGGCCCATGGTCCATCCATCCAACAAAGACTGTTTGAGAGCATCCTGTCCAGGTGCATGGGAGGCACAGCAATGAACAGAACAGAGCTCTGCCCCATCGGGGCCTGTGTGCTGCCCTGGAAAAGCAAGGGGGGGGCGAAAGAATGGTTGGCTGTTTAATCACTTGGGTCCAACCTTCGTCACGGGTGTGTCCCTACCCAGCTTCCTCTCTTTAACTCTCTTGCCCTTGGCAGGTAGGAGAGAGGCCAGGAGACTTCCTGTAGTCACAAGGTGTGGCCCAAGAGATCTGTGGGGGTGCATGTATGAGGAGAGGGAGAGAGTAAATGAATGAGTCAGGGATTTACTCATTTCACAGGGAAATAAACAGGAAAGAGGAGGGCGGCCGAAAAGCCCGCAGCCTCCTGGCTCAGGTGAAGATGGATTGCCTGTGCGCGTCCAGGGGTTTCGTGTTGCCCCCACCTTGTCTCGGGGACAGGTCCCATAGGGGAGAAGCAGGAACACTTGCTTTTCTGCCAGACCCCCCCAGCCTTGTTGGGGTGCCCATGTGCCTGAGGT